TAGAATACGGGTTTCATGCTGGATCTTACTCCAGCTGGGGACAATCATTTAACGAAATATTATCACGCTCGCCCAAATGCTCAGAACAACTGGTGCAACCACAAGTACCTTATGTGAGACGACATTTTGGATCCAGTCAAATGGTCTCTCACATGCCTCAATGTGAGACGGCATGGTGAAAGCGGTTCCCGTCGATTGATCGAACGATCCACCCTGTAATCAACCATATGGTTCGTTCTGAAGCGCGGTAGTGTAGAATTACGCGTAACCCATGCTCAGACGAACCATGACACGGAACATTATGAGTGGCTTTTTTCGTGTACTAAGCTACTTGGACCCTTGAGTTGAGGTAGACGCAAGATTCACCATCTGCGGGTGACCACATGCAATGCATCCATGACGAAACAATAGCTGGCAAATAAACTCAGCGTAAGACGTCATGGCACTTAAAAATGCATCCTGGCTGCCGATGATGCCAAAATCCCGCGTCTTGAGCCGCGTTCCAGGGGCTTCTATTCCGAAGAAACCCACTGCCCCGAATCCAAAGTCGATTGTTCCCGCCCAGAAGGCTGCAGGAGCTACTAGATGCAGGCACGGCTGCACTTGCGGCTTCACTGGCGTGCAAGGGAGCAGGTGGCTATTGGCTGGTTCGTCCCAGACGCACCTGCTCGCGGCCTAGACTGACGTCACGACTTTCCCCACAGGGCCATCTCATCACGATCAACTTCACTGGTTGGCTGAAAGGTGGGCAGAAGCTCCAAACCAAGGGTCCTGTGCGTGATTGCCTCTGCTTTTTTATGACATCACCGGCAGCCTGGCAGCCACTGTCCAAGGCAAGTGTTGGGTGAGCCTGTGGTGAGGCGTTGCTGCTACACAAGGAGATCGGGATGTTAGGTGCATCACACCTGCTACGTGATTCAGGTGGTTCGAAGTATTTATTTTGCCCATTCCCGAGCTTAGCATTTACTTCTTCCACCATCAACACTTCACTCCTCAAAACTCATCCAAGACTTCTACTTCACATCAACATTTTTAAGATCCAAGATCATCTTTCAACATAGCAAACATGTCTGACAACACCCAACCCTCCACTCTCAAGTCGCTCGCCGACTCTGCCGTCGGTGCCGTCCAGTCCACTATTGGTAGCCTCACTGGCAACACCCAAGACCAGGCCAAGGGCGAGGCCCGCGAGAAGAAGGCCGATGTTGAGTACGACGCTTCGCACGCCACCGCCAAGGTTCCAGGTGCTGCTATCTCAGGCTCTGGCGCCGTCACCCGCGACAACTCTGACCGCACCAACGGCTCATGGAACCAGACCGTCGGTGCCGCAAAGGAGACCGTCGGCGGACTCATCGGCAATGAGGTAAATTCCACATCTTCCCATCTCAAGCTCTTGAATATCACGACTAACTCACAACTCTAGTCTCTGAAAACCTCTGGACGCCAGCAGAACCTTGAGGGTCAGCAGCAGGAGGCCAAGGGCCAGCTTAGCGACCTCGGCTCCGGTATCTCTGACCGAGCCTACGGAACAGTTGGCAGCGCAGTCAGCGGACTGACTGGCGACAAGAAGGGCCAAGCCCACTTCGAGCAGCTGCGTGCCGAGGGCAAGACTCAGCAGCGTGGTGTTGAGCACGACATTCTCAAGAAGGCTGAGGCCGAGGACAAGTACCGCGAGAACGTTTAGAGATGGCATTCCTCAGATTCCTATTTTGATACCCTAAAACATTACGTGTAACGATGAACGGATTGGCTCTAGTTAGCTTTGCGAATTGAAACTTTGAACAACAATATCAATCAAGTACACATTGCATTGAAGAGATGGTTATCCTTGAGGAATTCTATGACTGTAAAATTACATGCTTTGTACGGCTCAAGAGCCCGAACCTGGGTCAATTACCCTGTGATGTATTGTGACTTCTTGGTTCCAACTTATCAAGTAGTTCAAATGATACTACCTTATTTTGGTCACTCGATTGTTTGTGGGACACGAAAACTCCAAGTGGTGGCGCCCATGAGGATAGCCAAAGCCACGCCAAAACAAAATGGCAACCCAATCCAAACTCGTATACCAAGATCAAATAGTGCACCCATAGAAAGAAGGCAGCATATGAACCCAAGCGTTTCGCCCAGAGCAATCATCCCGAATACGGAGCCAATGTTGTAGGTGTCCGGAAGCTGTGATACTATGAGGGATCGGCACAGGGTAGGGACGCCCGAACTCAGGGCGAGGACGACAACTCCGGTTATAACGAGGCCCTCGCTTGTGATCATCATGAGTGCCAGGCAAGCGAACATGAGCAGCGTCACGCTCACCCTCACGAGGACGACGTCGCGCCTGAGCGGGTCCATCCTGCTGAGGAGGCAGGCGAGGACGGGGAGGATGACGAGGAGGGTGATTATGGTGCCGGCGCTGTTAAGCGAGAGGAGGAGGGACGAGCGCCACAGGGACCAGGAGAACTGGAGGGGCATGAGCCGGGTTATGACGTCCGCCTGGGCGCTCGCGAGCGGGATGGCGAGGATGGCGCCTGGGAGGAGGGCGATGGCCGGGCGGGAGACGAGGAAGCGGAGGGCGGCGCGGGTCGATTTGGCGGGCTGACTGCCATCCTTTCCTGGATTTTCTACAAGGGGAGTTCTAATTGGGAGAGTTTCCGGGGTGAAGAGGGTGAGGGAGAGTCCGCCGGCGAAGATCAGGGCGAGTGACACCCATAGTGGTATCCATGGGGAGAGCTCCATGAGGTAGCCTGCGAGGATGGGCGACGTGGCTTGCCCGGCGATGACCGCGGCTGATATGCACTGGAACCACATGACGCTAAAGTCATCGGTTAGTTTGGAGAGTTGGCTTTGTTGGGGGCGGGTGCTCACCGTCTTGGTCCTGGGATGATGTCTGATATCAGGGCGAAGACCATGGATTCTGCCATGCTCCTACCCCCGCCGATCATGAGGGCAACTCCCGAGCCCCAGATTGCAGTGAGAGGAACTCTGGGGGACATCCAAATGACGAAGTCGGCGTAGGCTTGCGAGAGAAACAGGCCAACTACGCTCAGTCCGAGAACTGGGACGCGGCCGATGCGATCTGAAAGGATACCGAACGGTAGGGCGACCAGCGCGCCTAAACCAGGGGGAGAAAAAGAAATGATTAGATGCTAGCCAGACTCATCTCGGGCGTTCGTTCACCTGAAACTCACCTCCGGCGGTGGTCGAAATCAAGTTACCAGTCGTGACCAGGTTGAGTTGCTGCTGGATTGCGTCGCCGTGGCAGTCGCCCTCCGGGAGCAGCGAAGACGACGCAATGCCGAGCTGCTTTTTGCAGATGACGTCCTGCATCAGCCTCAGCGACGGGAGATTGCTCAGCGACAGGCCCAGCTGCGTGACGAAGAGCACGAAGCAGAGGAACGGCAGGAGGAACCTCCTGCCGACGCCGCAGCGGGAGTCAATCCTGGCCATGGGTAATGTAGATCCGTCACGCGCCCTCGTGGCAGTTTCTTTGCTTCTGCGGGCTTGCTTCTAGTTTCTTCTTAGCAGCTCGTTGGTGCGTGGTGGAAGGTGACCTGTCGTTTTTTCTTGTTGGCGATGGCCTCAGAATCCAGCCCGTGCTGAGGAAGGGGGGAAGAATTAGGAGAGGGCGGGGCTTGGGGGGGAATTACTTAAAACCTGGATGGCCTCCCTATTGTCTTTCAGATTTTTGGAAAATTTCTTATTCTCTGTCGTTTCTTATTCATTTTGTTTCTTGTTTCTGGGGTGAATGGGCTGAGGACGAGGTGAGGAGCGCCCACATAATTTCTTTTCTTTCGTTCAGCTGGCTGAACTGAATCGATAACGGTAAGTCCCCCCCCCCATTTATGAATTTTCTCGAATTATGAGCGAGCAAAACTATTTAACACTGATAATGACAGAGCACTGTAGTCGGAGTTTAAGGTCATGCGTTGATCGCAGCCAGCCTCACCACGCTCGCCGTCGACGTCCCGTCTCTGCTACTTAGACGTGATCGATTTTTATTTATTTCACTTGATCTCAAATAATACACCCTTGGGGCTGGTCCCCTTCTTTTCTTGGAAGACGCTTGATTCCAGAGTGCGGCGAGCGGCGGTTCTGCTTGGGGGCTTGATACGACGCTGGCGCGTGGTTCCCCCGTCTTTTACTTCAGCGGGGGGGGGCGGCAGTCTGCCTTTCCGGCGCAGGATGTGCGCAGGGGAGCATGTCCAATGCGGGAGCTGTGGGGTCATATCAAACAAGATACTGGAAGCATGTGTGACAAAGGTCGCGCTGGGATATTGCTTCGAGAAGGACCTGTCCGGGGTGAGGAAGGACGAGTCGTGCTCGTCGTGTCGGCCTGGCAGTTCGACGACGCTGGTCTTTGGCACAAAGAAAACAAGGACTTGACGGGGCTTCCGAGTGGTTTGTTGATTTATTTCTGAATATCTTTGTAGCACTAACTACCTACCTAGATAATACCTAATGCAAAGGGGCAGACAATGTGGTCCTTGTCCTACCTACCGTGTCTGGTTAGAAGGTTCTCTGATTCAAAAAAGCTTCCAAAGATATATCACAAAACTTCTGAACATCCATGCAGGCAAGTCCCGCTGGTCGTGACAATTACCAAGTTTAAAATAACCCTCTGCGGCCATTAGCTTCTTGGCTCATCATTGTCGGGTCAATTCCTTTCAATTGAATGTCACGTCGACGCCAACCTCTCTGTGTGTCAGCCAGAATCTGCTGTGGAAGGAGAGCGACCTGTGCCCGTCTCAAGCAATTCCTATTCCCTTCCCAGACCATGCACGTAGTATTCTCATTCAGAGCCACCACGATATATAAATAGCGATCTGGCCATGGAGCAGCTTTGGATAATAATTTTTTTAACTAATTCCTTTTCTTCTTCTTTTTTTTCCCCCTATTTCGTTCATTCGCATGATATCACGTATAATTTCAATAATTAACTCTCATCCTCAAGTCTCGCCATTGAGCTCTCCCTCTCGCCTTTGCTCCATCCCTGCACCTCAGTTATGGCTGCCGAGGTCCCTTCACAGGCACCTCAGACCTATGGGTTCTCCCTGTATCCAGAATTGCCCCAGTCTGGATCTGACTTGATACCCCTGCCGCAGCGCGTCAATGGCCCAAAGTTGAAGCCATTTGATTTCCAGGGCCCTCAACAAATAGAATTCCTAGACCATCTTGGGCAAGGCTTGCATTCGGAGGTTATCAAGGTCAGGATTTTGGGGCAGATATACGCGCTAAAACTCGTAAGACTTATCTGGAAATCGAACTTGCGCCGAAAGCCTAGTACACTGCTGACTCCCCTGTACCGACTTAGTTCTCGTTCTCACACGAGTACGACTGGATGGGTCCCGCACTCTCTGGTCGGTACAACAAAGAGAACCGTATGGAAGCAATCGTTTTCTACGAGTACCTGGATCCGTTCAACAACGAATGCCGTGCTTTTGGCCGCCTCCACGAGTCCGGCCACTCTGAGCTGGCTGTCGAGTGTTACGGCTATGTGCTCCTCGACGAGGATCATGAACGCACCCTGAGGGACCGCTTCCCCGACCGCAAGCTAGATTGGATTTTCCAAGACGACTCTGGAAGTCGGCGCCAAGAGTTCCTGACAAAAGACGGCAAGCCACCTCCGATCCGAGCCATTGTAAAGGAGTTTGGAAGTGGCGTGGACAAGTTGCGGGACCGGCAATTGAGAAAGACCCTCAAGGATACTATTCAATTGCAGCAGCTTGGTATGATCGGAATCGATGTGGCCGAGCGACAATTAATCAACGGAAAGCTCTGCGACTTCAGCACCACCATGACCACCCCCCATTTTGTCATGAATATGGAGATGCACCCACATCTGACCCCCCTTGGGAAAGCTAGGATGGAGTTTGATCTTTTCTGGTACAGCATGTACGACTACATGGTCTTTGACGAAATGGTTGACGAATGGAATGAGGAGCACAGGCTCCAGAAGGACCAAGTCTCAGTCAGGGCACTACCCCAGTTGTATGGCTCCGACTCTTGGACCTACAATCTAAGAAAGACGGCATCTAGGGAGCGTGTCTTTACCCATGTTGACCCAAGGCTCTACGACTGGAGGGCACCTGCCCGTGATAGGGATGAGAGCTCGTCTGGGGGACAAGCCAATGGTCGGAGCTCAAAGGGTAGTGGCTCTGGTAGGTCTGTCGCAAAGGTCTCCAAGTCACGCCGACGATTCAAAAAGCCACCTCGATGGTACTATGAGGGGAGCGAGGAGCACATGGCTAAACTGAGACGGTCAAGGAATCGCGACACCTACTTCGATTGGGAATTCAAAAACGGTTTCTTTATTCCAACGATGGGACTACGTTACGAGTAGTATGGGTGATCCTCTCCTCTTCGAAGGCACGCAGGTCACCACGTTCCTTGAACGGGCGGGAATTTCAATTGCTTTTATCTGTTTTCCAAAATGATGAATCCCAGGGCTGGAGTCATGGTGTCACGACCCAAACTATTAATGTAGTCTGTTTGCCCTTCATGCACCGGGATTCGTCACTGCAGCTGGGAAAGTCTGGGTGCGCCAACATCCCAATAAGCTTTTGAGATGATCCCTAATTTTTATCCTCGTGGTAACTTTTTATTTTTTTATATTTTTTTTCTACTTTTTTCCGTATCTTCTTTCTCTCTCTCATATTGCGTAATTGCCGCCTAAATGTACGTGGCATCTGGCGCAAGAATGCTTCCCTACGGCTGTTTAGGTTGATCAGGACGTTCCTTTCTCTCGGCTCACACAAGTGCTTCTTTTTTTCTAATCTCAATATGTCTAATGTCTTTCCTCGGGTAATGATTCATACTGTCGGGCGAAAGCCAAGTAATATTAGTTTAGTATTCTTTAATTGACTTAATTGACAATCTTTGACTGACACAATATCGTGCCATATACTCATCTCTTCACACTAATTAGGCAATTTCTTTCACTTAGGTATCAGTTCATCGTAACAGGAATTAAACTCCCTTGTACTTCTCTTGGGGAAAACATTTCACAGGACTAAAAGCCCTTCGTTTTCCAGGCTCGGAGAGTTATGCGTACTTGTCATTCATCCCACGTTTGTTATCAGCCATTTGCACGATTATTTAGGGGTTCCAAACACTTGTAACCACACAATAGTTCCAACACACAGTCAATTGTCACAATTAGCGCAATAATGAGTAACATCATCTTATTACTATGCGTCTTTTCTTGTGCCTTCGTTGGCCATTGCTTGTACCTAGTTACACAATACTTAACCAATAAACAATCCCCCACGACACCCCCCGTTCAAAACACCCTTCTCTTACTGCTCACTTTGATGAGGATTGTAAGACGAATCACCTTGAGACTCATCAAACTCCACCTGCTGCGAGTTCAAGGGATCACCAAGATACATGCCGTTTGCAAACTCTGAGTTTGGATCGTAGGTGCCCCCGAAGCAGCTCAAGTTGACCTCTGGATGGGCGACACTCGGCTGTTGGTCGTTGTTGGGCACATTGTCTCCTGCAGAGACCGATTCATCCCGCCGTGGCGCCTCCTTTTGGAGCAAGATGACGGAGTCTTCGCTGCGTGGCATGGCCATCATGGCCATCCACCAGACGGCCAGCTCCGTGGTCATCACCCCGCTTCCGGAGAGGACCATGGGTATCTCCATGACCTCTGCTGCCCACACCCCCTCTGCACAGCTGAAACGGCATGCTACTACTTCGTTGTTCGTTTGTATATACCCGTAGCGGGTGTTGGCTAGCCTGCAGGCGTGCGCGAGCTGCATCACCGGGTTTTGGTGCTTCGAGGCCCCCGACGTCGTGCTCTGTTCGATCGCTTTCGCAAGCGCTCCCCCTTGGAACTTTAGGCTTGTGGTCCCAAGACCTACCACGAGTATTCGAGATGGGGAGCCGATGAGGTTAATCAGATGATTGACCTTTGTTTGTGCATGCGCATTCGGAATCCGAGGGTTCTCATGGACATGTTCCAGGTGCAGGCCTGGGGCCAGCCCCAACCTAGACCGGCCGAGCTCTAGAGCAGGCTCGAGAACGGCAACGTTCCAGCCAATGATTGTGTTGATATCATCCTCCTGGTTGATGGATATGTTGGAGAGTTGTTCGCTGGCTTGGGGGATGGTGAAGTTCGCCGGAAGTGACGCCTTCAACAAGTCACCATACTTCTCCTTCAGTGTTTCTATGTTGAAAGTTTCCCATCTCTTGATTCTATCGCCGAGTCTTGGCCATTTCGGGCTTTTAGTGGGTTTGTCGGCCGTAGTTCTGCACACGATGGTGGGCTTGCTCTGTGTGAGCAGCTTTTCTAGAGTCCATGTCGTTTGACTGGTCATCTTCGTTCTTCTGGTATGAATGAATGTTGCGTTGCGTATGTATAGATTGCGTGAAGCTTTTTGGGATCAAGGGAATTTAGTGATGTGAAGCGATGTTGATATTGTCAGATTGAAAACCTTTCATGGTCAGAGGAATTGCGGCTGCTTTTATAGAGGGAGGGAATCTTGGGGTGATACAAACAAAGAATTACAACACAAGTAGCTTTTGCACGTAGTATACCTAGTAATTCCCTCCACAGGGTTCGCAGAGACGCCCCCGGGGGAGTAACTTACTATCGTTAGATAGTCTTAACCTTTTCTTTTCTTTGCTTTTTTTTGCTGTGATGAGCTGTATGTAGACGTACTCTCCAAAGGCTTGGAATTGTGAATATTTGTCCCGTTGTCCCCTACTTTAACGCACACTTTCATCTCACATGTTCTTAAGATGCCTCCATATCCACCACCATCATCATCGTCACCAAAGAGAAGAAAAGAGGTTCCGATTCTGTAGTCATAGATGCGGTAACCATACGCGTTCTAAGGGGAACTCGTGAAGCCTGCAGGACATATTGCGGCTAGCTTCCTGCTCAAACCACCCCCTGCCTGTGTCCTACCAGCTGGCTACCACCCACGACTAGAATGCCAAGCGACCGATATCAAACATGGCACACCCAGAACCTCTAGCGTTGAATGTCAACACAATACCAATACAGCGTCAAAACAATTAACGAGTAATATTTATAAGATCAGACTAAATACTGTAGAATCACAACTATCTATTTTCTCATGATTGTGTTTAGTATTATTGATATGAAAACGAGGTCCTTGACTTGCGTGAACAGAGCTTTGGTGCGCCTGGCCTTATGCCACTCGCTTGAATGTTTTCATCCCATCAACCCTACTAGCCACTAGGATGCAGTTCCAACCCCCTTTCATTGGTGTCGCCTGCAGCTTTCCGTGGGTCGGGACCAGCAACTGTGTTGTGATCTTACGGTTTTTCATAGCCATGGATGCAGCAGTCCGTAGACTAACGCGAGCAACTAATGTCGTGTTCCCCAGACCCTCTACGAATAGTCATTCAGAAGCCCATCACCGCCACCAGCAAATTTGTTCTAAATCCCGGATCCTGCAGAGCTAGTGATGCAGCTGCCCATAGGCTGACACTTGCAAGCCTGCTGTGTCCTCCGAATCAGGCTTCATGGCTAATCAACACCGACAAGTCTGATGTGATCTCGGAGCCTTCGTGGCCAGACATGCAGCAGCCCGCGGATCAGCGGTGGTAGCTCTGTCGTGTTTTCCGAAATTTCACTGTTATTGATGTAGCTGCGTCCGCGACTGTGCAAGCATGACTGCTCGCAAGGCGTCTTTTTTGGCGAACACTCATGCCGATGCGTGGAACTTTTGGCAAACGTACCATTCTGGGCGTTCCAGGAAAAGTAGTATTGGCTCGGTATTCTTTGATTGACGGCCTTTGATTGACACAATAAGTACAATAACGAGCAACAACAATCTTTTCTTATGCCCCTTGTGCTACAACCAAAGGTTTGATATGGAGAGCCACCAAGGAAAGCTACATCTTGTGATCGGGTATCTGTGGTTTAGCGTGGGTCATTGCGTGAAGTTGTTCAGGCTGGGCTGCCTTCGTGTTTAGGTATAGAGCCATCTATGTGCCTTAGGCAATGGTGATGTCTTTGGATGCGTTCTGAGAGCTGCCACCAGGCACTGGTTCCGCGCCTTGCGGAGGAATAGTCATGATCCGTGTGACATGCAGTCTCTGCATCCTTCTTGTTTCGTGGATGTGGTACGAAAGCTGCGTTCGTCGTACTGAGTAGCTGCGGTGGGAGCTCGCCTGTCAAGTTTGCCGGAGCGCTGTGAACTGATTTGCCAGCAACACATTGGTCTCCGGGCTTTTTTGGCGAAGGGTTGTCTGCATCAGGGTGGATTTACCCTAAGGCAGTCGATTGTAAGCGTGACCTTGTCTCTCGTGATACGTCGTTGATGGTCCATGACTCAAGCCTTGCAGAGCGGAAATCATACTTCTTATGAACACCGATAAGCAATTTTTTTCCGTGTGCATTAGACAGAAATCCGCGGTAGGGTGACACCGGTAGCTAGCAGTGGCTTTCGTTCGATGCGTGGTTGATACCTAGTAGTGTCTACATTCTCCTACACACGCAGCTCCCTTAGGCCGGAGATGGAACCACCTACCTTACCTTCTGATTCCACCCAATTGTCTGACAAAGTACAGTAGCTTCTCAGCCCTATTACCACAAGTATAACCACATGTGCCCGCGACTATACCTAGTCTCAACTACATCGCATCAGGAACGGCCTCAGAATAGCGCGTGCATCAAAAGTGCGGAGAGGTACATGCCAATGCTTCACTGGGTAGTTTGTATTCGATTTTGAAACATCGGTGAAGAGCATTGGCAAACGCCAGAAGCATCACCGCGAATCAGAGCGAGGCTGGGGTCACCATCAACACGGCTATCTGCCGGCATCCATGGCCCGCAGATGTGGTGCATTCACCAGGACATAGCTCCCTGATGTGTATGATGGCCCGATGAGCCATGTACGTGATTGGCGAGGCAGCGAAACTGAGGCCCTTGTGTGACAGACATGCGGTGGTTAGCCACCTCCCACCGATGGCGCCAGAGCAGAGAGAGCAAACTGAGGACAGATCAATGTCCTGCTGTACGATTGTTCCTGTGGAGATACGCTGGTGATGACTATGGGAAGCTAGTAGATCCGCTGGCGTATAGTCTAGCTCGTCTGAGCAAGGCGAGGCTCAGGAGGGCAGATCAGTCAAAAGCCAAAAGGGCTTGGCCATCTATCTTAGTGTGGACGGTGGCACCAACTGGTGGATGGGGTTCGTCGAATGGCTTCCGAAAAGAGATTGCCAGCGTCCAGGGTCTCCACCAGCTTTATCCCATCGCAAGGCCTGCCGTGGTTCCTGGAGCAGCGTGCTGCCGGCAGCAATCTTAAAAAGATAACGTAGAGCAAATGGATGCTGGGCGGCCTAACTGCATGGAGGAGCTGAGAGGCCGATGGAAATAAAATGTGCACTGTTTCCGATCGATTTCCGGCAAATCAACATGGGAGCGAGCAGATCTGAAAATCACCAAGCTACTTGCCTGGGTCAGATGCTCGGGGTGAAGGAAGCTGCTCGCATGCCTGTCCGACTGAGGTCTGGTGGTTAGTCATGGCTGGTCCCTGGCGGCCGTCCTTCTCACGGCAGTGCTCATCCAATGGGAGCTACGGCAGTGACTGGCGCGACCGATGCTCTTGGAAACCTACCTGAGTCAGTTCCGGCTGATGGGACAGCTCTGGCAGGCGGGATGGATGGATGGATGGCCCCGCTGCCCGGTCTTGAAGCGAGTTAGAGCCGTGATGGCAATGGATGCGTTGCTCCCAGGCCACGTTTTCCCTGAAGCTAAGGTCAGGTAGCGCGGCGGCGAGTCGTGCACCTGCTGGCACGCCGCTATCTGTGGCCTAACGCACAGTAGCTCGACAGGAACCGCGGAGGAGGGAGAGAGCACGAGCGACTCGTGCAGACAGGACGATGTCCCGTAATCACTAACATGAGATGAGATGGGTGCAGAAAAGTACCGAGCACGGGCCCATGGCAGTAGTAATAGCACCGGCACTGATATTACTGCGGCCCCATGGACGGCACGCAGCAAACAGGAAGGAGACTGGCCCGCGGGCTGAATGATCCGGCTGACTGCGTCGCGGGTAGCTGCCACGATTGCCTCCATGCGGTTTGGGCGCACCAGGCGCGAGCCTCCCAAAGGATCCCACGTTTTTGACTTACACATCCAAAGTGTGATTTGCGTAAGGTTGTCTGGTGTAGGTATGTGCCGTGGATCAGCCAAGCCCATTCGGACCGCCCCTCATCTTCATCTCGCAGTAATAGGTCTGAAACGGAACTACGCTCAAGGATTGTTTGGGCCTGGTGGTCCCTGTTTGATCCGCAAAGCTCGAGCCATTTGGTCTGTTTTTCCCCTTTTAGTGATGCGTCGTAAAGGCTAAAGGAGTGCCGTACTATGTACATGCATATCTTCAGGGACACGAATAAGGTTACTTGCCAGTCGCCCTCGCTTTTGCATTGAGATGGCTTTAATTTTGCTCTTGCTAACCGGCGCACCTGCAGACGCATCTGCATGTAGACGACTTCCGGTCAGACATTCCGTGATCTAGACCGTCTGTCTATTCGTATACACGCATATAAGCACACTCGCAGGTTGGATGGACCCTGTACAATTTCTGGACGACTAAAGTACCTCTTACTTACCCCAGTTCTGCGCGTCCCTATGATGCGATGGTAGTCTTGCCATTGAAAGACTAGAGAATTGCATCACAATGCGCGGAGGCTCCAGCCGCTGTCATATTATAGATGCCAGAGAGATCCTACCTTCGGACCGTCGCCAAAGCCTGTTTGACACCCTGTTATTTCTCTGCTTACTGCCAGCCTGGGGTCGGCCCTATCATTCCTACATACCTACCTACCCTATGAAGTGAAGGGACCTCGGCGCCAGTGTCATGCCTGCATCCCGTCTGCTGTAGGTCTGTGCTGTGCAGTCTGAGAGTTGATTCTGATGAATAATAAATACACCTGTGCATATGCGTGGAGTAAAAAAGAAAGCAGCCCACCGTGTAATTTGACATCTGCAGGGCACGGGATAAAAATAAGCACCGGCATCAGTGCCAGAGGCATCTAATTGGAGGGACATGCATACTACAGAGGCGACGGCTTGTTCATGCTTGAACAGTCGTACTTCGCGTGTATGCCTTTGCGCCGTTTCTCACTCCCAATTATTGCCGTGAATGGTCCCGGCAAAACTTGTAATCTTGAGGACGCCCAATGCGTGGAGCTGGGTCGCGGCCCAAATTGAGTCCTGAGGCGGTCCAAAGCCCAGGCGCGCACTTCGTGGGTGGATGTAGAATGGATGACGGATGATCATCCATGTTACGTGCAGCACTGCCCTTTTGAGATGCATGCGTCAGGATTGCGATTATGG